GGAAAGTGACCTGAGATGACATGATGTGAATTGGAGCTATAGAAATAAACTGAATAGATTTGAATTAACTTGGATGTTTAGAGATGGAAGGATCCTCAGTAGAAGCAGATGAGAAAAACATCCAATTCTTCTTATTTTGTAATTATTAAACTGAAGAAGGAGAGAAAGGAATCTGATGGCTGCTTCTCTGCGGCCCCCCGGGGCCCCCATAATCCCCCTCACTCTGCTGCTTCTTTTCTCTCTCTGCTTCAGTGAAGCTGAGGAATGCTGCAGAGCTCTCACTATGATGGGAAAACGCTCCTTCTCTCCTCCCTAGAACATGCATGGACCTACATGCACCAGCTGCTCCTGGCTGTCGTACTCCTTGCTGCAGCCCTCCCAGTGACAGTTGGTCTCATAAACGGCCTCGGGCTCCTGCTTGCACTCGTCCCGGTCCGTGTCCTCCTTCAGGTCGTGCACGGCGCCGTAACGGTTCTGCAAAAAAAGAAAGAAAGGCCCAGCATGTGTTAAAGATTTCCCTGAAGCAGAGGAGCCGCCACCTTCAGCCGTGAGCTGCAGGCTCCTCTAAATTACAGATTGAGCTGGAAGCATCTCTGCGGCGCTCCAGGGAAGGTTAAACCTTTGTTTGGATCACGCAAATAAACACACCGGGACTTTAGTTTAGGACTGCAAGCGCTTTATAATTTGGCGACGCGATGCAAATAAACTAAACGCACAAATCTTGCAACTGAGGTTCTGCAAGACGGACGGAGGCTGCAGCAAAGTCCTGCAAACATTTTAAGGTTTTTATTTCTCTGGCAAACTTTTATTAGAGGCGTTCAGAGGAACAACAGCTGTTTCTAAACAAGTTTAATAAACTATTAAAACATTTAAATAATGCATTTTTTCCCTCTTAAAGGAAAAAAAACCAAACAGGTTTTTATAAACTGAATAAATCATTTAAAGCAGTTTAAATGGTGACGGTATTTAATAACCAGACATCTTCAATAGACTGTAATAAAATCCTTACTAAAAGTCTAACATTTTTAAACATTTTCTTCTATTAAAGAAACATTAAAATTCTTCTCCGATAATGAAGAAAATAGGTTTTTTTTCTCTGGTTTTGGTGCAAAAATGTAACTTTTTTTTTACTTTCTAAAAAAAGAAACGGTCTCTATTGTTTCTTTCCTTTTTTTTTAAAATCCTGTCCGCAGTGTCTGAACACGGCGGCGCAGTTTGTCCCATTAGGGTTCCCGTACGGCTCCTCTGCAGCTACACACGGGAACACAATGTGCTGACGGCGGCGTGTTTGTTTCTGCCCCACACACGCTCCCCTCTTCATCAATTCTGGTGGCCCCCAGACGACTGCGCTCGGCGCCGTCCCCATGCATCACCACCAAAGCTGCCTCGCTGCCGGAGAGCGGCCGCAAATTTGTCAAAAGAAGAAGAAAAAGTCTCCTCAGATGACAATAAAGCCGGGCCAATATTTCATGGAAATGAAGTGCTCTGGCACAGTTTACCGGGGGGGGGGGTAAACAAATGGATGCAAAGCTCTTATCATGTGAAGTTTTTTCTTATCGGAGACCAGCTCTACATGGAGGTCACCAAAGGCTGTGGCTCCTGGGGGCCAGGTGCCGCAGAGGATCAGCGGCGTCCTAAACGCCGTCTAACTGACCCAAAGGTAAACCTGGCGACGCCGCCCAGAGGATTGACCAATAGGGAAGTTCTCTCCTTCCTACCGGTGACTGCGGAGATCCCGGCTTCAGTCCGTCCAGCTCCGCCTTCACTTTGGAGCGTTTGCTGATGGGATCCACCGAGCTGCTGACGGCAGAGTCTCCTCCGTGGTTCTGAGAAGAGAAAACGCAAGAAAATCCATTTTTAAAGAAGAGACGGGAGGAACGGGCGTTCTGTCAGGAGGTCTGCTGGGGGGCGGAGTTCCAATCCCACCACTTCCACCAACTTACCTGGAAATATCAATATATAAATATCAAGAATAAAGCCATAAAATTACCAGAATAAAGTCGTAACTTTGCGAGAATAAAGTCATAAAATTACGACAATAAAGTCGTAACATTGCGACAATAAAGTCGTAACATTGCGAGAATAAAGTCGTAACATTGCAAGAATAATGTCATAAAATTACCAGAATAAAGTCGTAACAATTATGAGAATAAAGTCGTAACATTGTGAGAATAAAGTTGTAACATTGCGAGAATAAAGTCTTAACATTACGAGAGTAAAGTCTTAAAATTACGAGAGTAAAGTTGAAAAATTACGACAGTAAAGTCGTAAAATTACGAGAATTAAGTCGTAACATTGCGAGAATTAAGTCGTAACATTGCGAGAATGTCGTAAAATTACGACAATAAAGTCGTAACATTGTGAGAATAAAGTCGTAACATTGCGAGAATAAAGTCGTAACTGCGAGAATAAAGTAACATTGCGAGAATAAAGTAGTTACATTGCGAGAATAAAGTAGTTACATTGCGAGAATAAAGTTGCATCATTACGAGAATAAAGTCGCATCATTATGAGAATAAAGTCGTAAAATTGCGAGAATAAAGTCGTAACATTGCGAGAATGTCGTAACATTGCAAGAATAATGTTGTAATATTGCGAGAATAAAGTCGTAAAATTACTAGAATGAAGTCGTAAAATTGCAAGAATAAAGACGAGAATAAGAATAAAGAGTATAGTTGTAAAATTACGAGAATGAAGTTATATTTTATGCTAACTCTTCCCAGAAGCCCTTTCTTCCCTAAAATGAGGAATGTGGAGCATCGTGTGAAGTTCTACTTTAGCATCGGTTTGACAAATCAGGAAATCTTTTAGCAGCAGCATCAAACTGGGCAGGATGTCAAAGTGGACTCTGGTTGCTAATTGGTGGAGCTGGTCGGCGGAGCTCCAAGCTTTATATCTGAAACCGGTCGATGACTTTATTCTCGTAATGAAAAGAATCTCTAGCCTTGCCCTAATACTCTGTCGTACTAAGTGAGTCGCACATTTCAGATCTTCTATACTCCAGTTAATGAGTAACTAATTTTTTTAAAGCACACACAGGAGGAACGTGCATTCTGTCAAGTTCTAGAAAATTTGCTATCAGGTAGGAGGAGGTCTGAGTTTGAATCCGACTTCTTCCACCAACTTACCTGAAAAGATCAGTGGGTTTTTATATTAGTTAACTTCAGCAAAGCAAAAACTGTATGAATTTTTTGCCCTTTTCAAGTGGCGCCGACTCTCGTTGAGTCATACGTGGTTAATAGACGTTCAGTGTGTGCAGGTAGATCGCATCAGAGCGTCGGGTCGCACAGTGTGAGAACAAACGTCGTGAGCTTGGAACTTTTAAACCCTGCGGATTCATCGTACAGTTTAAGTTGTAGCTGCGTGCAAAGATTGAAAAAATTGTACAGTGTACGCCCGGCTTTGGCTCGCTAACTCATTTTAACTCGGTACTGACTGATCTCGCCAAGATCGTAACCCAATGAACACGTTGACCAAACCCACTCAGTTCTTCACACGGTTAAAAGAGCTAGGAATGCGTTCCTTCCTTAGTTCTTCCATTTTCAATATGAGATAAAATTAAAAAGCCCTTTAAATGTTTAAAACATTCATCAGAGCGAGACGCACCTTCCTCCGTGTTGATCTCTGGTACGAGTCGCCCGGCTACGCATCGGTGAGATGAAGCTAATGTTGAGAATATTCACACCGTGGTTTCAGATCCCATGAAGTAAATCTAGGATTAAATTAAGTCTCACTTTGAGTAAACCGGATTGTCTGAGAGGAATGATGATGCAATCTGATCACGTGTGTCGCCCTTTCCACCCGCCGTCCAGAATACGCGTTCAGAGGAGGAGTCAGAGTTCGCTCTGTGGGCCGCACAGTTTCACTCGTTTATCAGCATTTGGTAGCTTCAGGGCCGTTTTAGGCATCTATGGCGACTCTTCCTACCATCCATCAACTCCCGGAGAACATTTCAGACTTATTGAACATTAGCCTGTAACTCTGTCCAAGCTAACCATTTCGTTAGAAGACGGCTAGCTAACGATGCTAGCTGATGGTCCGTTTTGTTTTTCCAGAAATGGTTGATCTACTGGGAATTTTACCCCCAACTGTCCCTCAGCTTTTGGCAAAGGTCCAAGAGATTGATGGTGTTGGTTTGGTGGTAGCTGTAATGCCTCATTGAGGCTGGGAACACTGGGAACACTGGTTCCAGCTAACATTGACCAGTTCTAACCACAGTCTGCTGAATAGTGGTGGTGACTTCCTGCCTCTAAGGTAAACCAGTGCCAGGTTAAGTCTTCCTCCTTCACCATAGCTCCCAGTATAACCTCCATCCTCACCAGGGAGTGCACTGACTGGAAGCTTCCCTTTAACTGGAAGCTGTGGAGTTAAAACATCCTCCACAGAATGAGAGAACCGACTGTATAACGTTACCTAAGATGACCCGTCTGTCTGTGTTTGACGAAGAACAACAAACTCAAACCAACAATGACTCCAACTTGGTAGTTTCAATCAAATATTTAGATTGGAGAAAATGATCCTTTCCACCTTAGACCTCCCATGTTTCACCCCCAGTTACACCCGAGCAGCATAATTCAGTATCTCCACATCTGTGAACCCGTCTGATGTTTCCACCAACCGTTGATAATCTCACCTTTTTATCGTCTAATCCGTCTTTACAGCCTCTTTAATTTGCTGTTTTTTCATGGCATCATGATTGAAGAACTAGATATGCATCACTATGCATTATTTCCATGACAACCGTTTCCATAGAGCCAGAATAGATTACATTACCTCATTGTATAAAGGCTGTGAAATGACCCGTAAACATCTGGACGGTCTGACCATAACTGCAGAGCAGCAGAAGTCTGCCTCCCCAGATGCAGTAGGTTTAAACGTCTTAAGCATTTGCTAAAACTTTAAACCTCTTGAATACCTGGTGAGGTACGACACAACGGATTGACTAAGAAACACCCAGTTGGAAGATCAGCCGAACTAGTTTAATCTCCCGCTTTAGATCAAAGTCGTAAGCAAATTATATTTAAATGTCAAATCATTCTGGCTTAAGCATGTATTTCAATGTTCTCTTTATCAGACCAGATTGTCCCAAAATGTAGAAAATTTCTATAAAAAAAAAATCCTGTCTTAAAAACAAGTTTTTTTTCGTTATCTTCTGCAGGCCAGTTAGTTCTACGTCAGCCTGAACACCTAAATTCGGCCAATCATATATCAACGGTCATCTG